ATTACCTTGCCATGTGATATCACCGTTGTAATGAATCCTGTATTTATAAACAGTTTTTGAAAACAATTTTAAAAAATTATTCTTGATGATTTCTAACACCAAAAACGTGTTTGGTTAGATAACTACAAAAACAGTTTTACCAAACAAAAAATAGTAAAACTTGTTTGGACAGCGTCAATATATGTTTGGACAATAATTAAAAAATTAATAAAAAAATATGTGAAAATTATTTTTAGATGGACAGTGCCATAAAAAAAATTAATATTAATTTATACAAAAAATCAATCAACCAAATAACAATAATTTTTTTTGAACCAAAAAATCTTATAATGTCTATATAATAAAGTAGAACGAAGTTTGAAACCAAAAGACAACAGTTTTAAGACAAAATATAAACACATCCAATGGACAACGTAATCCCAACATAAAAAACGATTCAGATCATCCCAAAAATTTTGATCTAACCATCTACAGTTAGTCCTGAATTTCTTTTTTCGCCCATGAAGAAGCCTCTTATCGTAAGACTCTACACTTTTATCTCTCATACGTCCTTATCTTAAATTTGAAAAAATACAATGACAACTCAGATTGAATTCATTTTAAATTAAATGATCTAAATGTTATATGTTAAAAGTGTATTGTTTGTATCTTGATTTAGGTTGGTTTTGTTTAATTTCTAATTTTACGATAAAATTTTATATAAAATTAAAAATATTTTTATTAAACATACATAAAATACATAATATCTCTAAGTTTAATATTTCTTCTTCAAAGTTTGACAGTTTAATATTTGACCACAATAATCACATACACNTGTTTCTTTTTCAAAGTTTGACAGTTTAATATTTGACCACAATAATCACATACACATCGTCACTACAACACAAAAATAAGTATCAAAATGGACAATGTCACCATTTTTAGACATATAAGTTATTTAATATATCGATTTTTTCAAAACCTTTGATATAATATTTCATTAAAAATCATTATATACTTACTATACAATTTTTCATCTTTCTTATTACAAACTGATTCATACCTAGAGTACACTATAAGTAGATTTTCTTATCACGTATTTTAGTACCGATGGTTGATGTTTACTTTTTACTTCTTATCAATCAATNTATAAGTAGATTTTCTTATCACGCAATTTAGTACCGATGGTTGATGTTTACTTTTTACTTCTTATCAATCAATGAAGTTTAAATTGTCTTTATAATCCATAAATAAAATCAGCAAGTTATTATTCATACCAAAAATAAATCACTACTGTATGAAAACCTATAGTTCTTAGAAATTTTTAAAAAAAAAATTCAAAACCCAAGTTAATCAACAATTAAAAAAAATAAGTGATCAATACAAAAAAAATAAAATACCAATTGCAGCAACAAAAAATGTTCAAAATCAATCTAATCGCTATGTATTGAAATTATTTAAACATCCTATTTTTGTGTGTTGAAATTTTATAAGTAACATAGTAACTTCAGGTATGGGCAATGACTACTCCATCTATATAATAAAATAGGTTGATTGGTTTGTCTTGAGCTTTTCATAGCTTCGATCATTTTTAAGGTTTTTTATCCGACGATCCTAATTAATTTACATTCCTATAGGACTCTACTACATTCATTTTATCTCTCATCATCTCCATTCAAACCATTGGAGAGATATCTATATCTTTACAGGATTCTACTACATTTTTATCTCTCCTTATTCTCATTCAAACCATGGGATAGATTGGCTTGGACGGTTATATACATACATACATACATATCTATATATATATATATATATATATATATAATAAAAATAAAATATATCTAAAATCTATTAAAACTCTAATAATAAGGATTATCTCTAATAAAATAAAAGTTCATTAACATATGCCGTCCTATTTATCTATCTATATATATCTATACCGATAAAAATAAAATCCCACTAGGGGTGGAGCTAGAAAAATACTTTAAGGTGGACACATTAACAAATTTTAATTATTTTTNTATCTATACCGATATTTATATCTATATATATAATCTAATTTATATAATAATCAGTTCAAACGCCTAATTTAAAATTAACAAAATAATAATACAAGAACAAATATTATCGCTAACAAAATATAAGTTTATTAACATATGTCATCCTATATATATATATATANTAACTTTTCCCGGCCCCTCCCCGTTAAACCTGTCATTTTTTTAATATATATATATAATTCAAAGCCTAAATCTAATTCAACTCGGCCCTAAATCCAACTCAAGCCTCATAGTATTGTCTCNGAATATCTGTATAAACCGATGATAAGATAAATGCAGGGGTAGACCATAACTTTTCCCGGCCCCTCCCCGTTAAACCTGTCATTTTTTTAATATATATATATAATTCAAAGCCTAAATCTAATTCAACTCGGCCCTAAATCCAACTCAAGCCTCATAGTATTGTCTCAGCCCTCGCCTTACGCCGCCCACACACAGCCTTCTCTCTCTCTCTCTTCTTTTTTCTTGATGTTCGTAATAATCAAACGCTGAAGAGATGTGTTAGATTGATTTTTGGGCTCTTTTTTTGGTTGAATTTTTTGAAGAGATGATGCTGTTTCTAATTTATGCACATATGTGCTGATTTTGTTTTTTTTTTTTGTTCAACTGCTGATGGCGGGTGTAAAGGTGGGTGGAGGGTGACGGAGGTGAAGGCCGTTAGCGAGGATTAGAATTTACCCGTGGACTGGAATGAGGATAAATGAAGTATTTTTAAGCGGTACAGGGATGGAGACATTGGTGCCTTAAAGGATGCTTAGTGTCATACCCGGGAATACTCGTGTAAACCAGTGTTTCGGTGATATGGTGATAATTCTTCGATAATGATGCCCCTGAGGACCTTCATATCATTGGTAATTGATTGTCTTCCTTACAGTGGTAATTGATTGTCTTCCTTACAGTGACAGAGCTTTTCATTCCTCATACATTATACAATATAGGTGGATTGTCTCTTCTATACCTAAACTGCATAGACCAGACATTTCATTATTGACTTGCCAATTCCACAGCTTAAATTTTCAGTGTCCTCCGAAGTTTTCCTGTGCTAGAGTGTTATCAAACATTTGCATTTGTTGATGCACTTCCAGTTAAACAATTGAACATGTTTAGTAGTCTATGACAACGGAAATAAGAGGTTCTGCAGGATTTAAAACACCTAGTTGCTGTAGATATGCGTTGTCAAAGAAGCATGATTATTGATGTTATGAGATAATAATGTCATTGTGAACAGAAAACCTAAAAAAGATTGCAGATCCCTCAGCTTTGAATTCTTAGAAATTCAAATTCCCGATTGTATGCGTGTTTAATCTCGTAAGCTGAACTTATGAACATGGAGACTCTACTTTTAACAATTCTAACTAGTATTGCAAACATATTTGAAAAGAGAACTTATAAATTTACGCTACCACTGTTTTGGGAAAAGTGTATCCTAACTTAGTGCAGCATTATATTTGAAACCGAGGAAACATTTCATGTAGTTGTGATATCACGTCATCATTATAACAGTATTACTACCCAGTTATAAACAATCAAATCGGCCTAGTTCTGCATTCGTTGTGGACATTCGAGATTATGCAAAGACAACTGAACCTATGCTTCCATCATCAACTGAGATCTGCCAACAGAGCAGCCCATTGGATCGCAGCAGCCACTCAATCCAATGCCATAAATATTGAAAAAGTGGAGGGTTTAATAGTCATATTGTGTTTCGTAATTGGTTTGTGCTACTCGCATGTTATTAATGATGTACTATCACTATTAGGGCATGTGTAAGGAACCACAATCTAGTAATGTTCTTTACTGTCTGTATAGCATATGTGTGGAACCATAATCTAGGACTGTTCTTTACCGTCTGTGGAAAGAAGCAGCAGCAATGGACTTCTGAAGTTTGTGGATTGTGTAGCATGACCAATGTGCAACTACCATCAAGTACCTANGTGGAAAGAAGCAGCAGCAATGGACTTCTGAAGTTTGTGGATTGTGTAGCATGACCAGTGTGCAACTACCATTAAGTACCTNGGAACCATAATCTAGGACTGTTCTTTACCGTCTGTGGAAAGAAGCAGCAGCAATGGACTTCTGAAGTTTGTGGATTGTGTAGCATGACCAATGTGCAACTACCATCAAGTACCTACCACTATGTCTATCCCATTTAACTTCCAGAAAGAAAAATGCCATGACCGGATAACAAAAACAGCAAAATTTATTCGTAGTAAAGAAATTTGAAATTAAACTTCAGACAAATGTATTTCAGAAAACGAATGACGACAGCAGTAATATGCCTTAAGCTATTAGGAGTACCCACATTCACCTGCCAGAGACAGACAACCAAAAGTTGCGGCATGCTACATTGATCACCCAAAACCACCCCCAGTTCAGCAATGATCACACAAGACCACATACATTCAACATTGTTTATTCATCATAATCCTGAATTTCTTCCTCCTCATCCTCATATTCCTCATCAGCAGTAGCATCCTGGTACTGTTGATACTCTGAAACCAAGTCATTCATGTTGCTCTCTGCCTCAGTGAACTCCATCTCATCCATTCCCTCACCCGTGTACCAATGCAAGAAAGCCTTTCTCCTGAACATTGCTGTAAACTGTTCACTCACACGCCTAAACATCTCCTGAATAGACGTCGAATTACCAATGAAAGTGGATGCCATTTTCAACCCAGTTGGTGGAATATCACAAACAGTAGATTTCATGTTGTTTGGAATCCATTCGACAAAGTAGGAGGAGTTCTTGTTCTGTACATTGATCATTTGCTCGTCAACTTCTTTCGTGCTCATCTTGCCACGAAACACGGCTGAGGCTGTCAAGTACCGTCCATGACGCGGATCAGCAGCACACATCATGTTTTTGGCATCCCACATTTGCTGGGTAAGTTCCGGCACAGTCAGAGATCTGTACTGCTGGGAACCGCGGGATGTTAAAGGCGCAAAACCCACCATGAAGAAGTGTAGCCTAGGGAAGGGGATGAGGTTAACAGCAAGTTTTCTGAGGTCAGAGTTTAGCTGTCCAGGGAATCGTAAACAGCATGTGACCCCGGACATTGTGGCAGATATCAAATGGTTCAAATCACCAACTGCTCGAAGAAAAAAACACACAAATACGGATCAACATCTAACACTTAAAAGATGAAACCCACAACACATAGAGAGCAATTAATTTAAAGTCTTACAGCTTGGGGTTGTGAGCTTAAGGGTTCGGAAGCAAATGTCATAGAGGGCTTCATTATCAAGAACCATGCACTCGTCTGCGTTTTCAACCAGTTGATGGACTGATAAAGTTGCATTGTACGGCTCAACGACGGTATCAGAGACCTTTGGAGATGGGAAGACGGAGAAAGTGAGCATCATTCGATCTGGGTATTCCTCTCTGATTTTGGAGATCAGAAGGGTTCCCATTCCAGAACCAGTTCCTCCTCCCAAAGAATGGCAAACCTGAAAACCTGACCAAAAAGGCACAATATAAACCATAAGCGACGTATGCAGATAAACTGTTTGAGAAAATGTCAAGGCGAGAAAACGGGTGTCAAACGTAAAGAGATTGAAGAACAAACCCTGTAGGCAATCACAATTCTCTGCTTCTTTCCTCACAACATCAAGCACTGAATCGATCAACTCCGCCCCTTCAGTATAATGGCCCTTAGCCCAATTGTTACCAGCACCGGATTGACCGAACACAAAATTATCCGGTCGGAAAATCTGGCCATAAGGGCCGGATCGAATGCTATCCATCGTTCCAGGCTCGAGGTCCATGAGAACGGCTCTGGGAACAAACCTCCCTCCACCTGCTTCATTGTAATAGACATTCACTCTCTCGAGTTGGATATCTGAATCTCCATTATATCGGCCGGTGGAGGCGATGCCGTGTTCGGCGCACACAACTTCCCAGAACTTGGCACCGATTTGGTTGCCGCATTGGCCACCTTGAATGTGAAGAATCTCACGCATTTTGGGTTAGATCTGAGGAGGAATTAGAAGGTTTTGTGGGAATTTAGAGAGGAAGACCGGAGGCGAGAGAGAGAGAGAGAGAAAGATGAGATATGTGGATGTGGGGACAGAGGTATGTTTCTTTATAGAGAGAATCAAATAGTTTGGAATTTGAAATTTGAATCCGTATGAGNGCGAGAGAGAGAGAGAGAGAGAGAGAGAGAGAGAGAGATGAGATATGTGGATGTGGGGACAGAGGTATGTTTCTTTATAGAGAGAATCAAATAGTTTGGAATTTGAAATTTGAATCCGTATGAGTTGGTAGGAACTTGGAAAGGGCAGTGAGTTGAAACGGATAGTAAATCAACGGTCTCAATTAGTCAGCATTTNAATAGTTTGGAATTTGAAATTTGAATCCGTATGAGTTGGTAGGAACTTGGAAAGGGCAGTGAGTTGAAACGGATAGTAAATCAACGGTCTCAATTAGTCAGCATTTGGGGCAGTGTAGCTGTTGGAATACTGGAATTCAAATTTAGAGAAAAAACAGCTGTACGGAACTTAGAAATGGAATATACCATCCCTAGTTTAGTTTAATCAAGCAATATTACAAGGAGGGACAATGAAGTTCGAATTTGTGAGGTACAACAACGAGAGCGATGATCATTTCACCAATCATCAATCTCTATTACAATCTAATTTAAGTATGTAAGGTGAGGAGATATTCTGGTAATTAATTTAGTAGTTAATTCACTATGAATTAAATAGTGACAATGATTTCATATTAACAACCGATGATTAGGCTTATCAATGGTGTCGGATATAACGAATTTGTGTCAAGTTTTAACGAATTTATGTCATAAAATATTTTATTCGTACTCCGTTTATAAACNAACAACCGATGATTAGGCTTATCAATGGTGTCGGATATAACGAATTTGTGTCAAGTTTTAACGAATTTATGTCATAAAATATTTTATTCGTACTCCGTTTATAAACTAAAATATAAACGAATCATGTCGTTTATTTCTTTAGATTAGTTTATTTCTTTTGTGTCAAATTCATTTATTACTCGTATTGTGCCGAGAGAGAGGAGTAACTTATAAAAAAAACCAAAATTTGATAATCTTTTGTTGTATCATATTTTAACACCTCTACTCATACTCACACACCACCCCCTATTAATTATAATGACTTAATGACACACCACCCTATTAATTTTAATGACTTAATCACACAATGCAGTCAGTCACAATAATTTGTCTCTTTCATCAATTTATTTTAATAGAATGGGTAGATTTTAAAAAAAAAAGTATAAAAATACTTCTTCTACATACCTTTTTCGTATACTGTCATAATTTTAAGGGTCGTTTTGTAGTAGATGAAACATCTCTAACACCCATGTGAAATTATATTTGTTAACCCTGGTAATCTGTATTGCTATTTTAACAAATTTCTCTATAGAACACCTCAGTCAATGGGTATGGGTGGAATGCTACTAATTAATCTCATAATAAAAACTCACGTTGAACAAACTCACAATTACTAGCAAATACTATTGTTAAACAATGATCTACTTTAAAAATTCATGCTATTAGAAATGACATTTTTAATATTTATACTTCAATATGTCGCTCGCTCGCGTGCACACTAGATTTAAATTTCACACATAATTTTTTTTTAATAATTAAAATAACAAGAAAATTCAAACACAACTTCGTATTCTAATACCATGTTAAAAAATCATCTATTCTAAAATTTTAAACTATTAGAGAGGGTTTAATTTAAATATTTATATTCCAATAAATAATATATTACAAACTCCACAGCCTTGGGGGTGTACTAAAAAATATTTGATGAATTCTACGATCAATTCAAATGTCATAATAAATTAAATCACAATAACATTGCTCTTAAAAAAAACAACACCACCATACACCAAAAAATGAGAAGTTTTTTAATTAAGGAATTGATGTTTAAGATTTTTTTTGCTGGTGTCATGATTTCCGTCAATGCAAACGCCTACTGGGACAACCCCATCAGCCCATTGTTGTCTTCTTTGAGTTTCTCCTGTTTTCTATTGCCTTTACTTTCAAAATTGGTCCGACCTTCAATGATCCTACAAAGCTTGTCTCAGGCCCAACATAGCCAAAGTTTGTGTAGAAACAATCAAAATTTATTAAACTATAAAATCTTATCTACTGTCTAAAAAGACATTAAGAGCTCGGCAAAAGGGGTGGACATAACGGACATAATAGTTGCTAAAAACCTTTAGCACCTGTGGGTTCTCAGTTACAAAACAAATAAATACCCACCCACACACTTTGTATAAGAGTTTCAAGCTCCATAAGAAACAAGCTTCGAACAAGATAACAAGAAGCTAGACTCAGTTATCAACCCTAAGTTGAGATGGTTTTTCAAGAAAATGCAATGTTGATCTCAATATGAAATGGTTATCTTCAACTACTTCAAAGAAGTTTTCAAACAAGATAACGCAATTGATACGAACGTCCTATGCAGCAAAGAGGGTAATGTTGAACAGCAATTGCAAAATGACAAACAAGCAGAACACAAAAACATTAGGAAATCCATCAGACCAGGAAAATGATAAAAATGAGAAATTTCTGCAGTAAACTAAAAGGAGACTAAAAACACTACTACTACTAGACATACACTCCAAAAAAGAATAAAAAAAAAAAATGAAGCAACCAATACTAAGAAACGAACTGGGTGCAGGAGCAGATCCAGATCCATTGATACACCACATATAACAAAGCTCATTGAGAATCCAAAAGGAAAGAAAAAAGACGTCTGAGTTCAAATATTGGAACCTGGTCAAGCCAGATTTATTTCCTAAGAATAACCTGCCAGACCAGAAAGAAAGAGGATTAGAGGATTGGTCGGACACTCTTGACTGTTAAAACTAAAAAAAAAAAATAGCCCAGTAACAAAGCTTACGAATACCCAAAAAAATGAAGAACAAAATTGTATAAACAAGAGAAAATGAGCATCTCAGAGTGAAATTTCCCCGTGGATTTTCTTCACTGGCAATCATAGTGCAAGGATAACAAAAATAAACAACTCATCATTGATGCTGCTCTCATTTAGAGACAAATAAAACCCATAACAATTTATTATTAAAAAAAATCATAGAAATACATAAATGTGTGTGTATTGAGGTAATTAGATCTCAGGAAAGTATGATTATCTTCAACTCCTTATAGGACGGTTACAGAAAGATAACGCAGTTTTCTTCGTAACATCATCGATCTGATTCGAAATAACTCACCCTTCTTACAACTTACAAAGTTCGAAAAAATAACTGTAAGGAAGATAATTAAACAAGAAAGAAAATCAATTGAACAAAAAAATTAATTAATTAAAACGGAAAAAAAAAAAAAAAAATTATATGAAACAACGACGAGAGAAACAGAAGAGAGAGGCTTTGCCAAAAAATTGAGGCGCTGGGTGGAAGCTTGGCTTTTCCTTATAAAAAGGACGTGGTAGGAGGCTGATGAAAGGGAACCCTAATTTGACTACTGTGAACCGACGTCGTTTTTTATAATCCTTTCTACACCGTATGAGATATCTGATCGATCCACATGGATCAAGTAGTCAAGTTTCACTCCCCTAAGAATATCGGGTTGACGGGCAGGAGGAGTTAAGAATCCGGAAATGGGCCGTTAGTTTTGGAAGCTATCGGGAGATGGGTCTTTCTGGGCCTACTGTGTCAGCAGTTTGATAGCCCAATAGCAGTATTTATATACATTTTTACCATTATACCCCCAAACTTATCCATAGTCCATCCCTACGCCATGTTTGCGATGTGAGTAACCTGTTCAGGGTTACATTTTTTTCAGCTGTACTTGTGGAGTTACTGAATTAATAAACCATCGGACCACAATTTTTGTAATCAACATAAAAGTTGCATTTGGGCTACGAACGGGAATAACACAACATGGACGATGAAGGATCAGATATGTAGTAGTAGAACGAGGAGGTGGTAGATCTAACGAAAACTTACCTCAAATGAGTTGAAGAGAAAGAGAAGAGAGGTCTGACCTTCTCGCTTTGGTTCCTCCGACTGCTACTCAGAGCACGATTTTTTGGACCTAAACTGGCGACGGTCGTTTGTTTGGATCTGATCTGGTTTCTCCGATTGTTTCTTCGTCTTTCTGTTATAGCATGCAGCGGGGTGTGGAGGGGTGGGGTTGTAATGTAATTTCGCCCAAAGGGTGGTACAAATGTCTCCCGGTGATTCGCAAGTCAAAAGAAAACGTAAGACGTTGGATATCCATTGAGGTTCTTCTTTAGTCAATCTTTTAGAAGCTTACGCCTATGCTGGAATGTAATTTCTTCATCCAACATACACAATAAATGGAAGTGGGTCCTAGTAGTAGATTGGTCATGTTTGGTATATTTATAAGTAAATATTGGATGCAACGGTAATATCACGTTATTATTGATGATATAATATCATCTATCAATAATAAAATTTTAAATGAGAAAGGTGAACCCTAC